TAGCTCAGAATTTTCTGTAAGTTACAAAATGTTTTGCTTATGTCAGTTTAACTTATAATTCTATCATTTTTCCAAGAATGAAATGTATATAGTTGGTGAAAGAAACTGAAGAATATGGAGCTAAACTCAAAAACCAGGTCTAAGTCCACTCTGTGCCGGCCATGTTGTTCAACAGGCTCATAAGCACACTAGAGATCATTCAGCAGGGGTCCATTTGCTGATACATGTGCGTTAGATTGAATGCTGGAGGAACACACAGCAGGCAGTGCGATGCTGAGAGCTGACAGACGTGGTAATGGTCCATCATGCTCTTGTAATTCTCCCCCTTCACAGCACCCGCTGAGGGCTCTGTGTTAAGCCATACAGGTGAAACTGTGTGGCAAACTGCTTGTGGGTCACCATCAGAGCACTGAAAGGATCTGTCCTATTTTGCCTCTTCCCTATTGCCTGGCTGCCCTGAGAAAAACCTGCACATAGAAATATATGGCATATACTTCACGCAATTGGCTCCAGCCAGGGTAGTCAAGCAGAAAAAACAAAAGGAAAAAATCTGCAAGCAAATCCAAAAAAGCATTACTAAAGACCTGTCAGGGCTGGAAGCAATTAATACACCAGAAGACTGGTGTATTAGCCCGGCTGAAAGATCTTTCTGAAGGATGGCTTCTGAAATACAATTTTTGAATAATTATGAGAAATATCCTTATCATTAAATTTTGAAGGCCATAATGTTCATTAAAAAACACACCTGTGTTTTACAGCAAGCGGTAAATCCTAACTTGAGAAAATTCATGTATTTTTAGGCATATAATACTCTGCACCAAATTAATCCTATTAGTGTTTTACTCATAACTTTGCTCTATGTTATGGTTATTTCACTCATTCTTCATCAGCTGTCTAAAGTTAAATTCAAAGGAGTACATGTCATCTTTTAGAATCAAAGCAGAGAGGGCATTCACCTGACAGTAAATTTCTTTACAACTTCAAATGAACGTCAGCTTTTCAAACAAAGATAATTTTTTTTCCCCTGATCAAACAGTTTGTTGGATTATTGAGGCTTGCAGAAGTTTATCTCTAAAGAGTTCATCTTCTATAGCAAGATGGAGGAATATCTGCTGTGATATTTTTGGTTTGTTTTGTGTTGACTGACAAGCATGCAACTTTCCAAATTCACTGCAAATTAGCAGACCTTCGGGAGAAAAATGGAAAAAGAAACAGGAGTTATTCAATTTTTTTAAAAAGAGTAGTTGGCAAAATGCATAAAACAAAGGTTTTTTTTCTCAGTCCAGACAAAAAAATTATTAATGATCTTCTAATTCTTTCACTTAAAATTAAATTCCAGAAATAGAAAACATTGCTCAAAAAAAAAAAAAAAAAAGTTTGCATCTTTATCACAATTGTATTTATATACTCCAGATCTGAACAGAACTCTTATTTTGGCTCATATTTATTTTAAAACATTTTGTATTGGCACAACTTCTGTCCTTCAAATCCCTATCTCTTTCTCCATACCTGCCCCAAATAGATTTGAAGTTCAGAGTAGTCTGTTACAGGAACTTCAGAAACTAGAAGGAACTTCATTACTTGTATCAGTTAATTTACTATTATAGATGATCTCTAACTGAAAAACAATAAGTTTATTGACAAGTTCTAGGATAATGTGCACTTTTTGTCCTTTTGTATTTCTGAATATGAGATATATATATTAAGTAATATGTATGTAATATTATGTATTAAAACAAATCCTGCAAAATCACAGTAAAATATGCTTTAATTTGCAAAGATAGGTATTTAAAAGAGGGGAATATCAGGTTCACAAATCTGCATGAAATAACCTGCCCTTCTTTGTTTACATCTTGAGCAACAACTAAGATAAGAGTTCTATAAAAACCAGAATATGTAAATTAACTAAAAATTACAGTAAAGCATAGAGTTCTGAATGATCAGAACTGCAGCATAAGCAAGGGCAGGCATAAATTCTACTACATAGTTAACATATTAACATATATCAAGTTGCACTTGATGATCCTGATGGGTTCCTTCCAACTTGTCATATTCTATGATTCTATGATTCCATGATATTTGACAGAAAGAGAGTAGATGGGAGCACTACAAAACATGGAGACTGGTTAGCACAAAGCGAAAGCATAGTCAGTGAGGGAGTCTGTCAGATCATTCGACAGATGATTTGCCCTTCACCCATGAAGAATGGGTGGAGACATATTTCATTCTTTCCTCCTCACCTTGGGAGAAATAATACTTATATTATAATTTATGATCTCCGAAAAGTCATAAACTGTATAGAAGGGATATGTTTCTTGATCTAAAAGGAAGTTATCTTCTTTCTACATCAGAGATGTCTCAGAAAGGGGCAGCAGAGATGACAGGAGCCATGTATGGAGCACAGAGGACTTAAATTGTATGCTACTACATGTTCAGGTACACACTCATGGTCCCAAGCCCTGCAGCTCCTAGGCCTTGAATTTGATATGCGACTGTTCATGCCTTTTAATTATGGAGTCAGGATACCTAAGCTATGTATGAGCAACAGAAACAAGCTGTGAGCTTTTCCTATTTCAAGTCAAATGTAAGTGGAATAGCAGGGAACCAAGGCAGAGGCGCTGCTGCTGGTGCAGCACACAAATTTCTTTGCATGTTTGCTACAAGTAGAGAATCTGCAAAATTAAACACTGGAAGAATATTTCATAGCAAACTTCTAAGTCTTCCTGCGATAGCAAACTGGTTGTGTTGTTAATATTTTTTCAAATAGTTAGATAAATGAATTGAGGAGGATGAGTGGCAATGAATACTGTCCATTTGGGCTGCTACACACAAATGTATGACAGAGGCACTCACTTTTAGGCATTCCACAAAAAATCCTATATAAAAATCAGGTTCTTCTTGAAGTAGAAAGTGAAGAGTGAGCTAAAAGACAGTTCACATGACAATGAAAGACTGTCAAATACCAGGAAAGAAATATACGCCAGAGAGAACAAAATTACATAGAAAGTCAACTGTAACGCTAATGATGTAGAAACATCTGAATTTCCCCCTTCTTGTTCATACCGGGTTTTAGTTACATAGTATCCTCCCACATTCTTCTCGGTCTGCAGTTTATTTAGGGACCACACAGTCCTGCTATAAACTGATCCCTCAGATGTGCTTTGTGCATTCGGAAGCGTGTTTCAGAAGGTGCACACTATCCACTTCCAGGAGCTATGATAATCTTCTTGTAGTTTTCAAGTGTTAGTGCACAGGTTGCCAAAGTACATACATTATTGAAAAGGTACTCTCACTAATGCTAACAACACAGTTTGTTTAAAAAAAATCATGCTATTCAACATCTCCACTCTCTCTCACAAGCTTAAGTGGAACTGAATTAGAGATGTCTCAGAAAGGGGAGAACTGAATTGATGTGTAAGATCTGTAATGGACTCAGTAGAGCAATCCATATTTACACCTACAGATACACATAGCATATGTCTATATATATGTGTATATGTATGTTTGAGTACTTGAATATAAACATAAAAATGTATAAATACAGTGTGATTGTCACATGTTTATGTGTGCGTGTCTTAACGTGTAAAAATATTGAGAAACAAATAGTGCAGTGGACAGATACAGTGTAAATTACTACTAGAGCAGCCCAAAAATGCAGGCAATCAGAAAGAGCTTTGTTTTTCTTATTTCCATCTTAAATGTAAACACTTATGACATAATCATATGAGGCATAAAACAGCAATCTGTCCTCTAAACCAATCATGCTATGGAAGGTTGATGTGTCATAGAAGAAATGAGGCAAAAGCAATGGAAACTGTGACATTGGTACCTCTGGATTTTTCATAGTCTGGATATAAATTGAATTCATAACACAGTAGAAGATCATTACTTCATGACAAATGGTTCACTGTACTGTCAGCATTTGTGTAGCTTAGCTTTGTTGAGTAGTCATCACAGTTTGTGCGTAAAATTATTTTGTAGATTTTTTCCTTATCTTGTGACAAATAAGCAATAGTACAAACTGCTTAGTTTCAGACATTAAGAAAACAATTAATTGTTGAGGAACGATGGAAGAATGTAATAGGCATCTAAACTGAAAGTAGGAGTGTCTGATCTGAGGCTAACACAATGATCACATGTGCCATAGTTTGGAAATTTCCCTTCAAGGACCTTAATAATATTTGCATTTATAAAAGGAGAGTGAGGAGAGTGATTGAAAATGTGACCTTTCAAACTTGCCTTGTTTCACACTCCTTCTTGAAAATAGCAGTGTACCTGGCCCTCCAGAAATGGTAACTAAAGGCCCACGAAATGAAATAGAACTCAGATCCTTCCCGGTTTTTAAAGGCATGGATTATGGCTTTTGACAGAATATCTCCAAGAGCATGAATCTCAATGAAGGTACCTTAGTAGGGCCCTGGATGAACTAAAAGTCCTATATAATGCTGCAGAGCATCTGTAATTTGCTGCCTCTCTCATAACATGATCCAGATCTACTTCTGCCATGACTCCAGGTATTTTCTTTCTGTTCTGGACACCTTGTTTTTTGAGGGAGATCTCTGTGAAGTAGCTGTGTTCCTCTTTGATCACTACAAAAAGAAATCTGATATACGTGAGTAAGGAAGAAAAACCATTTTTTTTTCCTTGTCTTTGTGCAGCTACTAGTAATAATCTGTAAAACTGAACCTAGGGACACAAAGGTCCTATAACCACAAACCTGAATTTACTCAATATTCCTAGCTCAATTTCCCAGCATCGCTATTATAACTAAATGTTGAAAAATAATTAATTAACTTAAAATTGATAGCAAAATTCTTTAAGATAATTTCTTTCTTAATTTAGCATTCTTAATTTTTGTCTTCTGCTAAAAAGACACAGCCTTACCCTTGCTGTAATTATAGGAGAAAAAATTTAAATTTGCTCTACTTCAAATTTCCTCCATTTTTGTAAAGTTAAATTATAAAATAGAAAGCCAAAACAAAAGCAGAAATGTATGGATATATAGTTAACTATATATTTCTCAAGAAGGCAAGTATTGCAGATAAAGTAGACTATCCCTCAAATTATTCACAGATGACAAAGTAAATCGGTGCATGCACAGAGTTCCAATGAACAACATCACCAATTAAAAAAGCAAACATTGACTTCAAAACTAACCAACCCCCAGTGCAGATGTAAGTAAAAAGCTGCCTAAACTCATTTCTTGTGAATGGGAAATAGAATATATGCTCCTTGGGGCCTGAAATATGAAAATCTTCAATACATTTATGAACTAATTCTTTAATTGCCTACTCAACTGAATACTATTAAAACAACTATAATAATTTGGAATATCACCCCTTTCTCAGGTTTCCATTTCTTTATTTTTCTAAGTCATATATGCTTGATAACTCACATGTGCTTTTTACCAGCTAGGAGTAGTATTTTCGTGAAAATTAATAATGTGCTTGCCTTGTTTCTGCAGTCCTCACTTACAATGACATTCTACTGCCCTGTTTGATTAATATTCACTTTAGCAGATAATGCAGAACTGGACTTCATACCAACTCTCAAATTTTCTTTAAAAATTCTTAACATTTACATCGCAAGTCAGGGAGCAATGAATTATGTATTGGTTCCTCACCTTTAAATACTTAAACCTGTTTGTGGAGTTATGTGACATCAGAATTATACACTGGGTACGTAGGATCCAGTTTCCTTCACTTTACAGAATGCACTTTGCGTGCAGATGTAAGTTAGACAACTCCTGTTCCCTCCCTTCCTTCTTCGTTCTTTCTTATTTTTCAGTTTTCTTTCCTTCCTTCCTTTTTACTTTTCTTTCTTTTTTCTCTTTCTCTCTTTCTCCCACAGCTAAGTCTTTGAGCTAATACTGTGCATTATTTCTGTAAATACTAATTTTATCACATTTCACTGTTTCTATTCCTTGAAAGCCATTGCAATCATTTATGAAGATTTAAATATTTTGTAATATTGCACATGTGTTGGAAGTGGATCTCATCTGAAGAGTTTGATCATTTTCAGGGAATTTTAAAATTATATCACAAATATATATGTATATAGCATATGTATGTGTCTTTTCTCATGTCCATAAAATGTCATTAAAGACATGTATTTACATCATTATTACTATATTTCATCTTCACATAACAAAATCTGCCTTTTCTTCATCATAAACAGGTATTTTTAAAGTAGGAAAATTACAGTATTCCATCTTTAGACACATTACTTCAATCCTTATCAGAAAGAATTTTATTTATGTCTGTGGTCACCTGTTCAAGGTTTATAGAAGTGAATATACTGATTTCTCTCAAGAAATACAGGATCTTTCTGGCAATTGTGCTTTTCAAGAGTGGTTGTGTTCAGCTCAATGCTAGCACTTGGCACGGAGACTTCTTGGCTTTTGCACAGAGCACGCTGAAGTTGTAAACACACATGGGCATCTGAGCTGGACGTTTGCATAATAGTTTCTATACTGTCTTAACGCTTTGAGGCATTCTACAGTTAGAAAAACAGGATAGTGCTATCAACATGACTTTTGTTCTTCAATCGAATCCTTTCTATACAGAGAAGGTAAATAACAGACCCAGTGCACAATGTCCAGGTTCTTCTTATTCTGTATAAGATGTCCCCACCAAAGCGTAACTATACTATAAACTCTGAATATTCATACATGCATTTTTGCAGTCACATGTTAGCCATAATATGGAGTTATAAGCAGAAAATGTATGTGTCTTCGTGTAAAAGAACATTCTTGCTATGCTCAGTGGCATGTGTGTCGCTTTACATGTCCTTATCTTGGATGGTTTTATATTGGACAATGTTACTCAGTACATATTTATCTCACCCCTCGTTTTCTGCAGTCTATTTCACAGCTCCCCTAGTTTTTTGAGAGACAGATACACTACTCCTTAATTGATGTATTTCATCTGGGGGTACATGGTTTGACATGTTATATGGTGTGTCATACTGCATGTTTTTAATAATCCTTCTGATGTAATATTCCTATAAATATTGTGATTTATAGTTGAAATCAGTGGGGTCAGGATTTCACCTTAAAATGTACTAATTTGTTTTAGAAATGTAAATTATTGTTAAAAAAATCATCAAGCCTCTCTCTATGTAATGGAAGTATTTTAGTGATTTTTAGTTTCAACCTTCACTGACAGTAGCACTTCAACCAGCATTAAAATGTTGGTTTCATACTTTAATGGTGGAATGCTGTTTCTCCATATGGTACTCTTCTTAGATGGAAAAACTCTTTTTAAAGTGAAATACTGAAAAATTTTGACTGAACAATAGAGAAAAATGCTCCTCCATGTGTTTGTTTTGGGAGATCCTTGTAGCTAAATCCTCTATAAACAACCCCAGAAATTTATACACACTTGTATGTGTGTCTGAACAGCTTCAGGTAACTGGGCTTAAAAGTATCAAAAAGAAATATAAACTTTTATCTCTACTACAATAAAAAAATTTGGGATATGAAAAGATTATCTGATGAAGTCAGTGTTTGCCAATTTTTTTTTTTTACAGAAAACAATAATTTCAATTGAAAATTATTATGTCATTATTGTCAGAAATACATAAATGATGGTGTTTCTCATTTACATTAGCTCTATTGTCCACCTTCTTGTAGTAAGGCAAGGAGGTTTAGTTGCCGGGGTCTAATATGGTTCAGTAGAAGCATCAAATGCAGGGAAAAGCGATTAAGGGGGAAAGGTGGTAGGACTTGATGTGGATGTATGGTACAGAGGCGTCAGTAGTTTTACATGATATCCAGGGTTAAGAAAGAGAGTAAGATAATTTTTTGAGGAATTGTAACACTCAGCAGTATTACATTTCTAAGATTTGAAGAGACACAACTTGTAACATTCAATATCTCACTTTCTGGCAAAGCAAAATTACATCTAAATAGAAGAGGCATTATTTTCATTTCTAAGTAACTAAAGTGTCTCTTTATATATAGTGCATATATTAACATATATCTTATGTATAAGATTTGTTTTATACAAAAATTTATTAAGGCTTATGTCTTAATGTTGTGCATTCTGAAAATTCAAGAACAATTTTGAAGGGAGAATTGAAAAAAAAATCACATTTCATTTCAAGGAAACAGATTAAATAGATAATAATACTTAAAAGACAGGTTCAAGATTGTCAAGGATGAATGTCAAATGCATTTATCAAATGACTATGCATATAATGAGTCACAGATTCCACATATATATATTTGTTATAGCCTTGTGTAGCTGCTTAAGTGTACCTAATAATTGTAAACACTGTAATACAGTCTGTTCTCGTTTTACAGTGCTTTCCTATATGTGTATCAGAAAGACATAATCTTATAAAGATTAAGACTAAATCTGAGAAATTGAGGTAACAAATTGTTTAACGCTTTCAGAGACAGAAGATGATATTTGTCTTTTAGAAACTGAATAGAGGGTGAGCAGACAGAAGAACATCTGAAAATATTTCCAGGAATGCAAGCACAGAAGACTGATATTTTTTTGTCCCTTTCAGATACCCACATCCTTATTTTAATTAACTTGCTCATATAAATACAGCAAGATTGATGTATTTTTTTAAATAACTCTTTACTGAATATGTCAACAAGATAATATATAGTGTATAGTGAGGTTTTGAAGTTAACAATGCGTGCAACATGGCAGATTGCAGAAAACAGATAATGCAGACTTCAAACCATCTATTTTTCCATGTTAAAGATAGAAAGTATACCAAACACAGAACAGAATCAAGTGTGCATGTCTCAGTTAAAATCAATTTTATGAAACATCATCTTCAGATACTTGGGATCAACTGATGATAACAATTTGTTTAGTAGCTTATCTGTTTCTGAGAGGATCAGAATTCAGCTCTCATGAGGCACATTTCCACAGAGCCCCAGTATAATAAAAGGTTGCCAAACCTCTTCTGTGCTAGTTTTCCATATGGACTACTAGCCAGCGTCCTTTAAAAGAGCTACTGCTGTACAAAAATTTAATGCCAAATGTTTTAATATTGCCTGTAGTATCATCTGGGATACAAAGTGCCCTATTCAGTAGAGTTCAGGGAAGGAGTGATCATCAGCTTCCTAGGATTACCTCTGTGTTTAGAAAAGAGCATCAGGCAGGATTTGATGAGGCTCAGAGCCAGTAACTTTTGGTTTTGGCACTCACTTGTGTTTTGTTTTTCCACTGAGCTGTGAAGTTAAGTCATGCATAAAACCATTATTCTCGTGTTCTAAAGAAAAAAGATTTAATATTTCCATGTTAAATTTAAGGTGAAGAAGTACTATAAATGTAGAATTCAATGAGAATTAACCACTTTACTGTCAGAAGCTGAGACTGAACTTTTATTTTAATACCATTAATAAAGTGCCTTATGTAGACCCTTAAAACCATAATAACAATACAATATGCATAAGGTTCTTTTGTTTGCAAAACTGAAATCAATAATTTTCCCAGAGGGAGAAATTTTCTCTCACGAAAAAAGAAAATGATTGAGAGAAAAATGCAGTTGAACTACTCTAGTAGCAAATAGCATGTGGTACTTAATTTTCTCTGTTTTACGTGGCATTCACTGTCAGGTAAAACAGCATCTTTATTGGCTTACACGAAAAACTGCTATCTTTTCAGTCCAAAGTAACTTCATCCCTTAATATTTTTATGAATAAATTCATTACTAATCTTTCCAATAAGAACTTGTTAACACAGAGTCCATGCATTAATCATGTGTTTGTTTCTGCCAGCAACAAAATCTGTAAAAATAAGGACCTGTTTGCAAATAAGTGAGTCTTCAGAAGGAACCCAAGAACTGGGTACAGCAGTGTTGTGATACTTCTTTAACATAATTTCAATTAAAGTCTTATTTTTTTCCCCTAACCAATCTTTTGCACATCTATGTCAGTTACTAGCAGTATACAATGGAAGATGAGTGAGATTTTGTTTGAAAAAAAAAATTTTCCCCAGGTCCAATGAACCTGTTCAAATTAGGACTTTGAAGTGAACATTTTGGATTAGTTGTATATACACACATTTGGGACTTCTGCTCCATAGCCTTTAGTTATTATAGGTGATCAGACGTTTGCACTAAGTGAAGATGACCCCATTTTTACAAAGCCTAAGGAAAAAGCTACTAATCTTAAACTTTACATTGCCAAAAGATCATTGTCCATTTTGAACTCTTTTTCTAAATACTTTACCTAGTGAAATTTTCCCATTATGTACTTATCCAGATGTGATCTGAAATGAAGTCTCAGATATTTGTGTGACTAGCACTTTAAGAAGTCACAAACTCTGCTGTAGGTTGAAATACATTAACTGTTTTGCAGCAAAAGAACAATTGGAATTGGGAGAAACATTCTTCAAATGAAACATGATCTTTCAGTTGACTACAAATCTGATTTTCTTTTAGGTAATACTCCCAGCTCTATCCACAAATTTTTGTATAAGTGGCTTCCTAAGTTTTTTCAGAGAAGTATTTATAGAAAATAAACTTTTGCCAGTATCCCATACCAATATACATATTATTATTCATACTGACATGAAGCATTAACTATGCTATCTTAATATAATTTTGATTTTTCGATCTATTAGGTCAGTAACATTTGCTGTCATTAGTTTGGGCTTGTGGACCATTCACCCGCAGTACAGTCAAACTCCCTGAATAAGTCAATTGTTAAAAATAAGGTGCCTTGTTTATCTTGAAACTGTGATATCCTGAGGTCTAGAACAGAAGATTCCTCCTGCATCAGTCATTGAAGTACAAAATACTAATAAGCATGTACTTTCAAAGGATGCCTTTTGAAATCAAATGTACAACTAGTTATTTCAGTGAAATTAAATACTATGTCCACACCCAATGGGATCTATGCTTTACTTAATTTCAAGCAAACTCCAATGCAGTGGAAGTGCGCAGAAGCACAACTACTTGCTGCTTGTCTTTTGAGCTGTGGCACCTAAACCATATTAACCAAAAAAAGCAAAAGTATCAACCTTATCATCATCATCTTCAGTAAAGAAATCACAGAAAAAAAACCACTTTGCATAGACATTTCTACTTAGAATTACACCATTTGAAATCATATGGTAGCCTTTTACTCAGCACAATTTAAATGACTTTACTATTACAACAGACACACAGGTTGTCTAAAGTACCTGCTATATCTGGAGAAAATAGCAAATATATAGAGTGGAATTTCAAACTGTGATTACAAAAGGTGTTGGTGGGAGGATGTGATTCCTTATAAAATGATCGTACTTTGCCATCAATCATAACTAGGTTCATTTCACCATTGCAGAAAATGAGTGTTATCATGTGATTTGAACTTCAGAAACCGCATGTTCATGGACTGCTGTTTCAAGAATGGGTTGAGTGAAATGAGCAAAGGAAAGGATTAAAACCCTCTCTCCCAACATAAGGAGCCTCATAAAGTGAAAAGTCTAAGCATTCCACAGTGAAAGTGCTTCACCCTTTGCTTCAATCTACTTGCTACAACTTCTCCTTGTTCCTAGTTGGTCACTGTAAAATGTTTTCTCTTTGGTTCCCTACTCCCTCAGGGAAGCTCTGTCTCCATCTTTTTATTTTTTTTTTCATTTTGATGTGAACTTTAGTTTGTCCCCAAGCTCAGGAGAAAATGAGCCGCATCAAAAAACAAACAAACTGAAAAAGACCAAAGAATTAGATTCCACCACTGAGCTGGCAAGAAATCCAGAGTTCCTGGCAGTCATTGAGTCAGTAGAGCGGCTGGAACATTGCATAATTTGGAGAGCTGCATCACGGTTTTAATAGAAACATAACATTTTGCATAGTGCATGTAAAGCTCAAAGACTCAGAAGGTATTGCAGCTAAAGAATTTCAGAGAATAAAAAAGCAAATTCTAAGCCCACCTAGTGCTTGTAAAGCGCAGATCATTATGGAAAATTTAAGAGAGAAGAGGGGTAATTCAGTTTATAATATGCCTGGAGTTCCAATACTAAATAACCTTTTACAATACATTTCTTATTTGTTTTCTCTTTCTGTCTTTTTTCTTCTATTTCTCCATATTGAACATAACTCAGACTCCTAAGTCAAACATAGCTTGAACCATAAAAATCAATAGCAACCTTTCCATTGGCATTATATTTTGCACCATGTTTTCAGCAATATACACTTTTAGATTCCAAATTGTAAATGAACACTGCAGAACTGGGAGCAACTCAGAATTTTTCTCACTCAGGCTTTACCTGAACACGCTGTGTAAACAAATGCTGCTCTATTAAAGAGACGCGCAACTTAATGACAGCTCTCTGTTACATTCCGATAACCTTCACCTCCCACTGAGAAGGGTCAGAAAATGCCTAAAGCTTCTTAAATCATAATGAAAAGCAGAAACATTTTCTATGATAAAAGCACATAGTATTGGGGGACATTTTCAGAGTAGCTTTTGCAACTAGGAATCAAGGTCACTTTGAGTTTGACACTGAGCTCTGTCTACCTTTCCTATTCCAAGTATATTGGGAGAAAACTAATCAAACAAGAAAGTAGCCTTTTTGGCAGCACTCAGAACTCCAGCTTTCAGTTGGAGGTAGGAAATGTAGAACTGACAAAGGGCAACACATGTATTTCCAATTGTTTGAAGCTCAACAGCAACTACTGTTGTAGTCAGAAGGGTTGTACCCATTTTATCTGAATTGCTTTTGTCTGTTCCTAGTGACCGTTTTAATACGCACTTATTTTCCTGTATTCAGGACACTTAGAAACTTAACATCCCTCAGACAGCTTCGACAGCAAAGTGGTTAATGTTTGAAGAATGAGTCATTCTTTCCTTTGCCATGACATTGGGTTCTTATTGTACAACCCTGTACAGTACTCAGCAATATTTTTTAAAGATTTAAAAAGCAAAGAGTTACAAAACCATTTGCAATTAACTTGAAATAGAAAAGATAGCACTTTTTTTAAATCCCATTATATAGTACACCGTATAAATTACAGAGTATCCAAATGCATAAATGCATCTTTGTAACATTTATCAAATGTAATTCTTTTCACTGTTGCTGGGGGTCTTATTTTTTCTAGAGTTTTTTCCTCTTTGTCCTAGACACCCCCATCTTCCCTCACCATCACGTATGACAGTGCTCCAGGTCTGAGACGTTGCTGTTGCAGTATCGCATGTTGTTGGGGATGTGGCAGTCTGTGTAGTTAATGCCCCCATTTGGGGTATAAATGGGCTGCAGTCTGAAATCTCCTTTAAGGAGCTGATCATTATTTAAGGAGACAATCTGGAAGCTGGTTTCCGTCATCTCCAGGATGGAGTTGTCCTTCTTGGTCCCTGCCTCACAGTAGTCATCTTTCCGACGGCCCCGGTTATATTTCCACTTCTGGGAGGTGTAACGACCTTTTTTGTGCATATGCCAGCAAAAAATGCTGAGCAGGACCACAAGGACAAATATCACTGCACCCCCAATCAACCCTGCCAGCAGAAATGGGGAGCCTAGGTTCTGAGAAGTTGTCTGCTCGTGACTGGAAGGGATGTTGCTGCCATTGCTCAAAAAGGAAGCCTTGGTTGTGGCTTCTGAACAGACAGTGTCTTCTCCAGTTCGGTAACTGTTATAAGTATCCAGTGGAACCAAACAAATCCGATAAGTGGATTTGGGCTCCAGATTTACCAAGCTTGATTGCTGCTTCTCACCACTAACTATTCGCTCATGAACAATTCCTCCTACCAGACTATGGCCCATTTTAACCCATGTGAGTTTATATGCCATTACGGTAAAAAGTGACATCCAGTTGACTTGGATGCAAGTGTCATTAACAAAATGGATGAAGAGTTGAATCCCTTCAGATAAAGGAGGTGTCACCCTTTCTCTGTCCTCCCTGTCAGGCACAGTGGGGAGTGTGGCTATGATGGGAGTGAGAGGATTATATTTGCTACTTGGGGGGGAAAACGATGAGGTGGGAATTAATGTAGTTGGCATGGTTGTAGCTGGGACTGGGGTGATGATAAGTGGCAGACCAGGGGTGGTGGTGGGGCATGACAACATATTCATATTGAGCTCCCTGACTGCCATACCTCGGACCTGCTCTGGTCCCTGGCACATAAAACCCCGTACATTGATGGAAGAAGGAATAAATTTGAGCCACTCAGTGACCCACTTAATACTGCAGTCACATAACCAGGGATTATTCCTTACAGTGAGTTGTCTCAGGCTGTGGAGATTATCAAATACTCCCTTTGTCAACATCCGAAGCTGATTGTTGGAAATATCAAGACGTTCCAGTTTGTGGAGGTTTGAAAAGGCTGTAAGTGGTATATGGGTTATCTGGTTGTCTTGCAAGTAAAGCCTCAGCAGATGTGTCCCTGGAAGATCGGGAGGAGGGTAGGTCAGTGAATTCCGAACTATTGAGAATTCCTTGAGCTTGGAGAGGTGGCTAAAGGTGCCTTCAGCTATGCCTTTATTAGTAAGGAGATTGCCATCTACAATCAGACGCTCCAGACTTGTAAGATTTTGGAAGGCCAAGTCTGAAATGACAGCAATTCGGTTTTCGTCTACTCGAAGTTCTTGTAAGTCCAGCGGAAGGCCTACTGGTACACTGCTTAAATGATTCTTGGACAAGAACAGAAGTTTGAGGCTGATGGCTTCCTGGAATGCCCCATCCTCAACGCCAACAGTGGAGATGGAGTTGTCATCTAGGTGCAGTTCTTCCAGTTTCAAAAGCTGAGCAAGAGCAGCACGAGAAATGGTCTGAATGTTGTTTTCCTGCAGGTGGAGAACCCTGACATTCTTCGGCAGGTTCATGGGGAATTCATCCAATTGGTTGCCATACAGGTAGACTGTGTGCACAGACTGGACATTGTGCAACTCTGCAGGAAATCCAGCATTATTAATTTGGTTATTATGGAGGTAGAGGACGGTTACACCCTCCGGTATCCCAAGAGGCACTGAGGTCAAGCTTCGCTCATTACAGTAGACAAAGTTTCGATCACAGCGGCACACTTTTGGGCAGGTCAAAGTTTTGGAGACCTGCATGCAGAGCCCCAGGGAAAAGATAAGCCATGATTTCATGAGAAGAGCCCAATCTGTGGGCCACATTTTAGTCCACGAACCCATTTCTAATCTAAAGAAATAAAGTACCAAAGTGTTTAAGAACTGATAACAATAATAAAGCACAGGTAGCAAAATCTCAGGTCGTTAAAATTGGCTTCTATTAATGTCCAGTGTTCAGGCCAGAGTTCAAGTCCTGGAGGCTAAGTATAAAATAATCTTTTTATAATTGGCCTACCTCCTACTTTTGATAAGAAAAACACAGTCTTGTTAGCCAGGGTTACAAAGTTTGTTGCCTTCTTCCATGTGTGCTGCAAGAAACAGTAGCCATGACTTTGCTGATGAATTTAGATACCAAAAGTCTCTGTGCTTGCAGGGATATTTCCTTTCACTGAAGTCTGTTGGTGTCACACTCAGCTTTCTGAACTCAGAAAAGTCCTCATATCAGCTATCTGCCAGATCTGGCCTGCCTGTAAAAGAAAAGAGAAAAGAAAAAGCTGAATAGCATGAAATGCTTAATAGGGAAGATCAAGTCCACTGGAAGACTATTCTAAGGTTGAGCTCTTTATGGATTTCTGGAAAAAAAAAAAAAGGAAAAAAAGACATTAATATTAAACATTAGTTTAATATTACTGTTAAATAGTCTTAAAATAGATTTGATGCAAAGTCCTTGCAATGATTGAAGGACTTTCATTGACTTCAGTGAAGGCTAGATCTATCACTTGTGTTTGCGTACCGTAACTCCAGTCTTCATCCTCTCACAGTCTGACTGTTTAAAATTCTAAAACTAAACAGTTTAAGTGGAAATTTTTGCTTAGGTAATTAAGTTTTTTTTTTTTTGGCAGAACCACTGACTTCAATGAATGCTATTCACTGATGCCTGACAGAGTAGACTCCGGTATGTATTATTTAATCACACTCTATGTTTATTTCCTACCAGACTCTGGAATGTTCTGCTTCTATTTCTGTAATGCCATTATGTATATTCTCCAATTTGATGCACACTGACATATTATTGTACCTTAGAAGAGTGAATAAGAAACTTACAAGTAGAGCCTTTTACACAAGTATGGTAATCCACAAACACAAGAAAGATACCCTGCTGTAAGACATGGATTTGCTAAACCTATCATCGTTATATTGGTTCTGATCTGAACTGTGTACTGTCAATAGATTTCAGAACTTGCTTTCCACTAAATGAAAAGGCCCATATCTGCTAAGTTACTGTTTTGGGAGATCAGCTCAAACTACAGCAGTTTTGTAGAACACTTTCTTTGAAACCATAAAGGTTACACACTTCTTTTAATTCTGCTATAGAGTTGTCTGTGCATGGCTACATAAACAAGTTCATTAGCTTTAGTATGGATGAGTTCCTTAATATATATTTTCAGCTTGTAAGCATACCCTTTATGTTCCGAGCTACTATTTATTATTCAGATCTATAACCAAACATACCCATTCTCTACAGTTTGCAATGAAAGTATGTGTTGTTTGATGTTATTATATGTTGTTTCCAATGTCTGGAAAAAAATAAGTAAAAAATACTGCATTTTACATACTTAAAAAATACTGCATTTTACATACTTGAACCAAGGGAAGGATACAAACCTTGGTAAATACCAAGCACATGTAGATATCAGGCTCTGGGATTGCAGTGACATGAGCATAGTTATTTTCCAGGTTTTGTTTACCCAGATCAAAATTCATTCGCTAGGATTTCAAGGTAACAGAATTTCAGTGAACAGAAATCCTGTTTAAAAATGGTGGGTTTCTTTTGCTTTTGTTTGTTTGTTTGGTTGGTTGGTTTGTTTTTGGTTTTGTTTTGTTTTTTCTTTTGAGTTATTTAAACAGTTTAAGCATCATCCAGGTAATTTGGGAAAAAATTTAATTCAGGAGTGCATGAAATCTGTTCTTCTGATACAGCAGTGCAGTTTATAATATGTCCCAAATGCTGCTTTTAGGAATCCTATGGACTGACAGTGCAGAAAGTCTCTTCGGAAGACAAACTGTTATAACCCTGCAACCTTGCAGTTGCAGATTACTGTATTTATTTAGAGGATCAGCAGGTATCAGCCTCAAGGTTCAAAAAACTGGAAATAAAAAGCAAGAAATCCAGTAGTTTATCATTACAAATTCAAATTATAAAGGCAGTGCAAATTATACTGTAGTGCCGCCTATACTGTTTATTGTCCTTTTATAGAAACAGTAATAGTCACTCCCCCACTCTTCATGGTTTTCTCTCTCGCAGGTATATTTCAATCAAGAGCGATTTCTTTTCAATTATGTCAGATGATGTGATACTGTGGAGAAACTCTTAACAGGATTACATTCTAACGAGCCTAAGTGTGACAGTTTATCTGCCTTTAACATGGTCTGGCTCCCATCTAGATCATAGCACTCTGATCTGTCATGACACTCTCTTTTTAAAAAACGAATGAACACGCAGAGCCTCCTCTGAGATGCTTGGGACCACACAGGGTACTAATAGTGGTTCTCTTGTTCCTTTTCCATCACTGGAGAGAGACAGTCTGTACCTTCTAACAGAGCCAATACCCTGCACTAGCTTGCTTCTGATAGTAAGTCTGATTGCTGATTAGGTTTTATTTGACTCCTGGGTATAATAGAAAGCGCAGCTGAGGACATGCAGCCACAGGCAGCTGCTGTTCCTGGTTTGCTGGGAATGTCCTAAGAAGGGACTGTCACATTAAAACTGATTTATGCATTCACCTTATTCTAGGACTCTGCCCAGTGTACCTCTTACCTAAATAAACATGGAACCTGAATAAAAGATTTCAGTAATGATTCAAGCAAATTGGGTTACCTGTACAGCACTTCTCATTAGATAGTACAAATAAAAGAGGTCTGACTGGTCAGTCACTTAAGCAGATTCTGAAGTAGATCTTTTTATTGTTACATGGATTTTGACCTTAGAAATCCGTTAAAACAGATCTCCTAATGTTTTCTCCCCTTGTGATGATGAGAAAGGGAGTCCTTTTATTAATGCCAGTATCCTAATCTCTAGATATCAGTCTATAATAAACCAATACAATAAAAATCAGTTAGGATAATACACATTGGAACTACTCTTGATTGTACTAAGCAAGAGCACAAGGACATATCTAACAAGATATTTATGACTTCAGGGTTGAGTGTGGTGTGAGAGAGGGAAGGAGAGAGGAAGCAAGGATACAACTGAATGTACTTAAATATTTTTTTGGGGAAAATTTTCAACTCAGTAGTCTTTCATAACTGTTTAATAGTAACTTATAATAGGGATCATAGCTGTGGTATTTTTCAGCAAATCTCAGGGACCCTAATGCAAAGGTAAATTGTGTCTCCATGTTAGAAATTTCTACCTCAAAGATATTAAAAAGATTGAAGAACTGAACAGCCTGCTTGATTTAAAAAGAAAAAAAAAAAAAGAAACTCTGTGAAGGAAAAGCATTGTCTGCAAATTCTAGAAGGCTGGAAAAACTTAAACAGTTTGTTTTTAGCAAACTGCCAAAACTGAAGGCAGGTAGAGTCATTGAGCTTTGCCCCATCCCTGGCATTCTGGCTCTCTAAAGCAAGCTCTCTATTTTCAATATGATTGCAAGTACTGAACCGAGTCTCTGCAAATTTACTGATCATTTCCAGAAGCAGAATTTTGGAAGTGGAGGAACTGTGGGTATTCCTTACTTATTGTGATTGTATATCTTGCGACTTGACTCAAACATTAGATGGCAGAGACTTTGCTTATTGTGAAGCCAGAAGGTTCTATAAACCAATCTAGGAAGAGAAGAAGGCAAGCTGTCACGATTAACTCAAAATTAAAGAAATCAACACGCAAATGCCTCAATAATAACACATCTGTCCATCATCACCTTGGTCATCTTTGTTTCTATTTCCTACCCTGTACACTTGATTTCTATTATTTCTCACTATATCCTCCGTAGAGCACAAGTCACATCTTCCAAGTGTATAAGACATTTCCTGCCTTACTGCAGCCAGGATATTAAATCCCATTAGGATTTAAGGAATGGTACAATGAAGTTGAGAAAAGTGCATTGAAATAGATGAGAACATATCACATGTTTTAGGAGGCCAGGTCTGAAAAGTTGGCTTAGTGGTCTGAGCTCCTGACATCAATAGAAATGTTTCTTTTCATATCTTAAGAGGCATTTCTAATCAACATTTTTATCTCATTGCCTTTTTTCAAACCTGCCTTGTAAAAATTCCCTTTTGGTATGGGTGATGCTAGCCAGAGAAGAACAATTCTGGCTTTGTGTATTCGATAAAACATAAGGTATTTTGATTAAAGATATTTAAAGGTTGAAACATCTGGCTGCAAGTTGGAAGGTGAAAGTTTTAGTAGTCTCACCTTTACTGGTCAGAATCACCCATACAACTTCCAGCTTTAGTCATTTTACTGTGCATAGCCATGAAATACTTAATATATTACCGAAAATGCTATTCAATTATAAATCTGTGGTATCCAGGGGTAAAACATCAACTGACTAGCAGGCTACTTGTGGAGCTCTTTCCTACCTTACTGACCACTGTACTGTCTCAGTGGCTGTGCCTATGGTGTCTAAAGAAGCTCCAAAGCTGCCCTCAGGGCCATCCTTCCCACCTTTAATTATGCAGTCTTTCAAACTTGCAGTCAAGGGCAAACTGAGAACCTAGTGATATTGAAGGGAGATAACAGAGAATAAAGGGAGGAGATAGCATAGGAATCCAAGCCTTCATAGGAATACTTACAACCCTATGTTATAAGCACAGTTTTGTTGTGCTCCTAAAGCCAGACTGTCTGTCTTCATTAGTCTTCCCATGGTTTATATTAAGGCCATAAATTTTTTAGAAGGCATAAAGTGAACAATGTTTGGCTATTCTTTTCTTCAAGGAATCGTGCAAATAATCAAAAAGAAGTCATAGGAATCCAAGCTGTCTCTTTTCTCTGATATTCTAACCACTCAGTACTACTTTTCCTAGCAGCTCACCATTTATCTGAACCTGAGTGCCACGCAATATAAATTGAAAGGCAAGCAAAACCAAACCTAAACAGTCATTCTTTTCCCTGCTACCAGCCAGTGACTCTTACTTAGCACTAAACCATTTGGCATAAATTTTCTTGGCTATACTGCAGACAGAGGTTATAATCAAGTCATAATTTTACTCTGCATAATTATAATATACAGTAAGTACAAGGCTATTATGTCTGGAATTGAATGACAAACTGAAAACAAATCTAACTCCATTCCTACAAAAGCTAGTATACAGAGTTCCTAGTGCTTCAGAAAAATATCCCTGTTTTTCTACCAACTGGTAATAAAAAACATTATGGAATAATACCTGACAAATCTCTTTTTTTCACAGAAGTAGAATTCACATGAATATCTACACATGAATGAACATCCTGGGGTTTTTTTTTTAACTGTTTAAGAGCCTTAGATGATGGTTTACTGTATATGTTTCTCTATGAGTTGCTTGG